TTATGTGTTTACTCTTGCTGGAGGAACTGTAAGCTGGGTTTCAAAATTGCAGTCTATCGTGGCTACTTCTACGACGGAGTCAAAATACATGGTAGCTACACAAGCTAGCAAAGTGGCAATCTGGTTGCAAATGATAATGGAGGAGCTCGAACACAAATAAGAGAAGATTGCTCTATTTTGTGATAGTCATGGCGCTTTACACCTGGCAAAGAATCCAGCATTTCATCAGAAGACAAAGCACATTCGAGTTTAATATCACTTTATTCGAGAAAAGGTGGAAGAAGGAAATGCGGATATATAGAAAATTCATACAGAGGACAACCTAGCAAATATGTTAACAAAGCAAATCAGTATTGACAAGTTTACAAAGTGTCGATCCTTCATCGGCCTAACAGAAACGTAGGTAGCATGAAGATGGTAAGTATAGAAAGGATAGAAGTGGTACAACAAAAGTGACTTTAAGTAGGAAAAATGTTGGAATAAAGCCACTTTGTTGGACTAAAGAGGCAACAATATCTTCACCAATTTTCTGCAATTGTTGACTTGGCAGGTTGCAGGGATTTAATGTTGAAGAAAATTGCATTCAATATTGGTAGAAGTTGGTAGCAATTTTTTGTGTGTTGAATTTCTACACTACAATTAAATGGACGCGGATAAATTTTCCTATAAATAGATGTCCAAGGCTAAAGGAAGTAGCAAGGAAATTGAGAGGATTTGAAAGCGTGAGTAAAGAGAAGATAGTAAGTAGAGAGATAAATTATAGAGAAAAAAAATATTATTTTCTTCTAAGTGTTTCCTACTTAGTTTCTCCTATTACAAGAGAGACTAATTATTGTTATCTCCTTGTATTTACAGTGTTATTGTAATTCTCCTATTATTGTGAAATACTTCTATATTTGTCCGTGGACGTAACCTAAATTGAGTGGACCACGTAAATATTTGTGTCCAATTTTTAGCTGTATTTTTTCAATTCCATTTTCATTGCAAGCCAAACTTGACTCACATTTTCTTAACACAATGCATTGTGAATCTTTGCTGGATGTACGTTTACGAATGTTGATTCAGCCAGCTCAATGGCGCAAACAAGCCCAGTAGCTTTTCTTTGACACTCAATCTGCTCCTCATGGGGATCACTATCTGCTACAATTCCAGCTCCGGCCTGAATATGAGCAATCCATTCTTGCCGCTTGTTGGCATCTTTGTAAGAATATATTGTGTTATAATGGGCTCCAGTACAGAATATCATTGTCCTGAGTGCCAGTGCGATTTTCATATCTCCCATAAACGAAATTTCTCCAAAGCCTCCACTATAAGGCCCTCGTCTTGTTACTTCAAATCGATCAATTAGCTCCATGGCCTTCACCTGTATAAGAGACAGAAGCAGCAGCCGTAGACTTGCAGTGCTCCACTCAGCCATAAACAAACCTTTGGTGCTCCACTCACTGTTCCAACTAGTAATGTAGCTTGCAGTGTATCCCAGCAGGTTAAATCATCGAGCAACTCCGATGTGATCTATGAGTAAAAGTCATAGTTAATTATGAAAACTCGCTTCTTTAGCATAGTCAGCCTAAATTTAAAGGTGAATTGATTTGTATACTCACCGTAGAGCTGAAATGCATCACGTGGGAATATCGTTCAATGGTCATAAGCTTCTCGATGTTAACAGAACCAGATTTTGAGACTTACATTAAAAATCCACAAAAATGTATCTGATTAAATTTATGTTTAACATGTAAGATTTTTTACATGAAAAAAAAATTATGGATAAAGAGAGAAAGGAAGTTACTTGCATGTAAATTTACCTTATAATTAAATCAGACCAAGAATTACTCAACAAATGCATGGTTTGCCCTTTGTTGGAAACATCATTAGTACCAATTATTTGCTTATCATATTTTTACACATCAATACAAAAATGTTACATGCATGTGATGTCTTAGACAACAAGTAGAAAGGGCATACACTTAACATTAGGTAGAGGAGCACATAATAGTAATGATTTCACACTCAGAAGCACTGATACAGCTGATAAATTTTGGAGGAAATGACTAACAGGGTTAACAAATCCCCTGTACTCAAACCTATAGGGCTGCAGCCTATTACTGATATGTAAATATAATCCAGCCACCTGAAAGAAGAATAGTAGATCCCAGACGCTATGGAACAGACCTTTGTCTTCAATCTCTTTTGTATTTAGATAAATTGATGATAAAGAAACGCAGTATGCTTGTCAAAATTTATGCCACTAGTCGCAGAGATTTTTAAAAGTACAATTATAACTGTAATCAATAACATAGAAATGATTGTCACAACTTCATAGAAAATGAATTTGAAGAGGTGCTGATCTTGGTTGAGGATAGTACAATCCCATCGAAAATTTCATAGATGCTATGGACATAACAATAAAAGGAATTGGAAGAAACTATGGACCAGAAATTATGGCAGGAAACTTAACATTACATGCTATCAAAATTTAGCACATAACATTTTTTTTTCTCATGATACTTCCGTAGTAAAATAGACGAGGAGAAACCTTTCCAACATCATTTCGGCCCAAATCAACCAGCATAATGTGTTCTGCACATTGCTTTTCATCATTTAGCATCATTAATTCTAACATCTCATCCTCAAAAGGAGTCTTCCCTCTTTTAATGGTTCCAGCCAAGGGCCGATTAACAATCTTTTTTTTGTCAAAAAGAATGCCTTAGAAATTTATGTTGGTATTTGCCCTAAACCCTATAAGTACTGTGGAAATTCAGAAGACCTTGAAGATATCAACGAATTGATGATATGTGGATTGTAAAAGTAGTGAACAATTAGATTAGGAGAAATGGGACCACACTTTTACTTTGTTGATACGAGTAAGAACTTCTGGGCTAGAAGCAACCAAAATACACCCTCTAGCCTGACAATGAAGTAAGAATCCACATTGAGATTGGCATAAGCTGCATTAATTGATTAAACGAAGGATAGTGAATCAGTGACAATCGAAGAGAAAAAAAAACCTGCAAATAACTCATGTATGGACTAGGATTCACAACTCTTAAAGCTCTGTAGATTTCAAATGGATCAGCAAATGTACTTCTTTCAAAGCATTGACTTAAGACAATCTGGAAGATATCCCCCGCTAAAATATGTTCCTTCGATTGTACAACTGCATTCTTATATTCCTCACTTGTCATGTTACTCTTGTTTAAAGTGGGTCCAAAATTGTGATTTTGCAGGGTTATGAAACCTGGAGATAGCCTTGGACTAACATATGGTGATAAAATTACAGATTAGCAAGTGTAAATTAAGTTTCAGTCAATCATTTTCAAGATAAGATATCACATAGACTTTTTACTCACAGATCAATGTCTTTCACTCTAGACACCAATTGTTCCAAACGTGTGATTCCGTGGTTGTAAGCCTTCTCAGCAGACGAGAATCTATCTAAGCGGACCCAATGAATTACACATACTTTCTACGCCGACAAGGGAAATTCACAAATAATCTCAGTAATACATACAAATACAAATATAAGAATGAGATATACAGATAGACAAAACTACACAGAATGACAGAGAAATCTGACTAAATTGAGATGGAGTTCATGAGACTTCTTTTCGTCAAACATTTCGAATTGACAACCTCTTTGTCATAATTGATTTTGTGCTGCAGGGGTTAGAAGTTCTATTTTTGTCCGCAAAAAGAAAAAAAAGTGAGATAAGATCCATACATTCAGATTAATAGTCCCTTACCTTCTCTACATGATCCGTAAAAAGAAATGGGTAGTTACGAGCAG